CGCCCACGGCGCTCAGGCGGCCAACGGGAGAGACCGCCGCCGAGCTGACAGCTACGTNAGTACCGCCTCGACTTCATCCTCATGCGTCAAACGGACCGGCGTTTCGTGGGTAATGTCTCCGTCAAACGTGTCGACTTCGAGGACTCTGGCCACAGCCTCGTGCTTACGACTTTCCGCCTCCCCCCCGTGTCGCACCCGACCGACGAGTGCGGGGGAACAGCGGAAGCAGNCCCCCCGTGTCGCACCCAACCGACGAGTGCGGGGGAACAGCGGAAGCAGCCGGATCCGTATCGACCTCGAGCGGTTGAGGAAGGACAAACACCTACGGGACGCCTTCCAAAACAGGGCCTCTAGCCGCCCTCCGCCCACGGCGCTCAGGCGGCCAACGGGAGAGACCGCCGCCGAGCTGACGGCTACGGTGATGTCGGCCGCTGCTGAGACCGCGCCGCTGGCGAGGTGCGCACGAGGGCAGAGAAGCTGGTACACAAGCGAAGTGCAGCACGAGATCTCTGAAGCGTCTAAAGAGATTAACGCGGCCCAGCAGCAACTGCGTGGGGCCTCAAAGAACAGCACCTTCGAGGCGACCCTGAAGGCGATGCTCAAGGCGGCGCGGACGAAGCGCAGCATCGCGAGGTGGAGAGCACTGGAAAAGTTCTTCGAGGGCTATGTACGGCAGCTCGAGAAGAAGAGCCGCGAGGGGGATCAGGCGGGTTTCTACAGGCACCTGAAGATGATCGACGTCGAAGGTAAGAGGTCGTTCACCTCTCAGAACATCAAGGACGAGGACGGCAAGGTCCTTCGGGACCCCACGTTTATTCGCCAACGGTGGGCACGGTGGTTCCACAAGCTTCTCAACACCAAGTCGCCGACCATCGACCTGCATGCGGCTGACAAGGTCAAGCGGTGGCCCACGTGCGTGCCACTCGACGACATCCCATCTCTACTTGAGGTTGAGGAAGCGGTACGGGAAATGGCCAACAGAAAGGCCGTCGGGCCGGACGACCTACCGGCTGAGCTGATCAAGCTTTTCCTGGACGGAGATCAAGGTCTCCTCCGCGAATTCCACGCCACTGTCGTGGACATGTGGCAGACGGGAGACGTACCACAGCAGTGGAAGGATGCCATCATCAAAGAGCTGATCAAGAAGGGGGACACGATGGACCGGGGCATCTCTCTCGTCGCACACGCCGGCAAGGTCGTCGCTACATGACTGAGCCAATACTGCGAGCGAGAGGGCATCCTCCCGGAGGAGCAGAGAGGTGTCCGCCCACACCGGTCGACGCTCGACATGCTGTTCGCGATCCAGCGGCTCCATGAGCTCGCGAGGAAGAGGAGTACTGCGGTATTCGCGTGCTATGTCGACCTCACCAAACATATGATTCGGTGGACCGAGACCTACTGAGGGGCGTGCTCCGACGCTTCGGCGTGCCCCCGAAGATGCTGGCGGTCATTCGCCACTTCCACGAGGGCATGAGGGCGCACGTCCGAACGGACGACGGGCGGTACTCGGAATGGCTCGACGTGGGCCAAAGCCTCCGGCAGGGATGCAACCTGGCCCCGCTGCTGTTCAACAAACTTGTTCTTTGCCGCGATGCTCATGGTCGCCGTGGCCGAGTTCGACAAGGACCCCAAGGTGACGGCGGACATGGTCAACATCGAGACACCAGTGGAGTACACGGGCAGGAAGGGCAGGTCGGCGGGGAGGAAGACGACGGTGGTGACGGACGCGGAGGCCTTGTGGGCCATGCTCTACGCTGACGACGCGGCCATCGTCTCGCGCTCGCCGGAGAGTCTCGAGAAGATGATGTCGGTCATCGTGCGCGTGGCTGGCCTGTTCGGACTGATGGTGTCGGAGCCAAAGACAGAGATCATGTGCATGCTGCCAAAAGGGATCGAGGAACACCCGTTCACGGTCAGCGCCGCCGGCCAGACGTACAAGCAGACAGATCGGTTTGTGTACCTCGGACGTACCATCTCCGCGGACGGGAAGGCCGACCGGGAGATCACGAGCCGCAGCTGCCGAGCGTGGAAGTGCTACCGCCGGAACAGTGCTTCGATGTACGACAGGCGACGGGCCAACCACCAGCTCAAGATCCGGCTACTCCAGGCTGAAGTTGTGGAGACTCTCCTGGATGGGTGCGCCTCGTGGAGCCTAACAGCGGAGCACTACACGAAGCTCAATGCAACCCACCGCCAGTTGTTCCTTACTTACACGATGCATCGGCTGGAGCAAGCGGAAACGCTCATACCTGTCACGTCCGTCGCCCCGGTTCCCACCGGCAGCGACGAAAGCGTGCCCCGCACCATTCTGCGGCTTCCCCTCCCGTGCGGTCACCATATCCTGATGGGCATCTTTCACCACCTTTTCAAAGTGCTGACGGGTCAAATTGGGGGGCGGAAGGGCACGCAGCATAGCTTTCTCCATTTTGTACTCGGAAGACAAGTTGTACACAACGTGCAAATTGGCACCATCGTCGGGGTATGTGCGCCGTGTGAGGCTAACCTACTGCGCAAAACAGCAAATCTGCCAAAGTATTCTTGCGGACTTTCACCCACTCGCATTTTTATGGCATGGTATTCTGAAGTCAACCGTGTTTTCTCTGCTCTCGCCTGGGATTCGTAGTATGCTAGAAATAGTTTCCAACCTCCACTGGGTCTACCATCAGCGATAATCTGGGTCAAGATTCAAGACAGCACGTAGGTGATTGTCGTGATGATCAAATTCCACGCTGTGATCGCCTTTTCTACCGTCTCAGGCGAGTGCATCCTACGTAAGTCCTCCATGTCTACTCCTGCTAGCCCAACTGGAATTCTGTGGTCACTCAGTATCACTTCCTTGGCCTGTTCGGACTGATGGTATCGGAGCCAAAGACGGAGATCATGTGCATGCTACCGAAAGGGCTGGGGGAACGCCCGTTCGCGGTCAGCGCCGCTGGCCAGACGTACAAGCAGACAGATCGGTTTGTGTACCTCGGACGTACCATCTGCGCGGATGGGAAGGTCGACCGGGAGATCACGAGCCGCATCTGCCGGGCATGGAAGTGCTACCGCCGGAACAGCACTTCGATGTACGACAGGAAACGGGCCAACCGCCAGCTCAAGATCCGACTACTCCAGGCTGAAGTGGTGCAGACCCTCCTATACGGGTGCGCCTCGTGGAGCCTGGCAGCGGAGCACTACACCAAGCTGAATGGGACCCACCGCCAGTTCCTGACACGGTGTATCGGCTGGAGCAAGCGGAAGCGCTCAGACCGACCCCTGTCCTACGCCCAGGCCCTCATCCAGGCCGGCTGCGAGGAAACCATCGAGGCCACCGTGCGCAAACGGAGGCTGTGTTTTGCGGGCTTCGTTATGCGCATGGGGGACAACCGCCTCCCCAAGCGCATGCTGCTGGGAGCGATGGCGGGGGGTACCGGATACCGGGGCGGGCAGGAGAGCGACTGGGTGTATCGCCTAGGAGAGGACCTCGTGGCGTTTGGCATGAAAGAGGAGAAGGAGGGGGGGAGATGGAAAGAGAGCGCCAAGGACCAGGAGGCGTGGTACGACAAGATCGAGGACGGGGCGGCATGGTTCATGAGGAAATGGCACAGACAGGAGGCGGAAGCATCCGCGAAGCGCCAGCGCCAGCGCGCGGAGGAAGCAGAGACGGAGAGCACGGCCGCCCCGGGCCCGAAGAGAAAGAGAATCGGGGAAGCGGCGGGGGGGGGGAAGAAACGGCGACCGGACACTGCTGTAGAAGCGAGTAGGGCGGCCAAGGCCGCGCTTGCGGCGAACGACGTACCCAACTGATGATGTTGTCGCACCCTGTGTTCCCTTTTCCCTGCCGTAAGCTGTATGCTCTTAGTATTGCCTCCGGCCTCTCTTTGTGCTTTTCTTCTTTCTTTCTTTCTTGTTCTCCATGCCCTCTCTACGATGATCTTGGACGATACCTCGAGCTCCTTGTTATTTTTGTTTTTTCCTTTGCTGGCTGCCTGCCACCTCTGCTGCCTCTTTGGTGCGGTGCCTACCCTACACTAATGCGCTGGTGCATACTGCACTGCTGTAGTACCTGGTACTGGTGTACGTTGTCCTTCGATTTTTTATTTTTTTTGTGGGAATATATATGTGTTTGTTTTTCGCCCCCCGTCTTGCTGCACCCCCTGGGGTGTGGTGCAGGGCGGGGGATGCCTGGTCGGCGGGAACCCGGCACGGAACCCTCCGGCGTTGTAGGCGGGTGTGGGAAGCGTTCCCCGTTCTCCTTTTATTTTATTTTGATCGGTCTCCTCGACGCTCTTTCTCGTTTGGTGCGGTAGCTGGTCTTTCTTTCTATCATTTTGTTTCTCTTCCGAGTGGTTTTTGTACCCTATTTTTTTCTGTTTCTTCGTGGGGTCGTGTATGCCGGGTTTTGAGACCACGGGCTCCCAATCTTTCTTTTTTAGAGCTAACGTGAGAAACAACAACAACAACAACAACTTCCCGGGCTCCTTCTTGCGCAAACATGGCAATCATGCTCGATCGAAAAATCAAAAACCTTGCCTGCTCATCCTCCCCTTGCCTCACACACCATCCCACAGCGCTAGGCGCTTAACCTCAGTCATCTACGAGTCGCTGCGCTACTTGGTACTCTACCCATGTCTGCGGGTGATATCTAAAGACGGCTGGTCAGGGCTTCGGCGAGAGTGCGGGCGATGTCGTCTGTGGACGGGCCGGCCGATGGTCGCCCCGCATGTTGCTGGTGGCGTGTCTCGTGGTCGTTCCCGCTCCGGATGTGATCTGCCCTCTGCTGCTGCTCGTCTTGTTGCCTTGTAATCTCGGCTAGTCTCGCTGCTACCCTCTCGTTCACCAACTCGTTGATCCGGGCGTCGTCGTCCACTGCTTGTCGGTCGCTCTCTCGGTCTCGGTTTCGGTCGGGGGTGCTCATCTTAGAATGTCCGCAGCGCGTTCTCCCTGGACTCAGATCTGGTTGCTGCCGTGTACGCCGAAGCAATGCAAACTGCTCTAAGTAAATCAGGCAGCTGTGGTGTGCATCTCGGCAGGCCAAATCAAAATATCAGTGCCCGCGCCGTTTCACGACCTGACACCTCGCTCGCTTTAATTCGCAACCTATTTTTCAGGGGAGGGGGTGCGGTCTTTGCTCAGGCAGGTGATCTATTGGTTCCCATACCTGCTCATGAAAACTAGTCAGTACGCTTTCGAGGATCAGACATCCCAAGCGGGCTCGGGCTCGGGGTCCCGTTGGCGCCGTGAGGATAGGAAAACCGTTTAGCCGCTTGCGTTCAGTTTCGTTTCTTCTTCGGATACCACTCGTTAACAGCTACCGCACATAACTATTCCATTGAAATTTACTCCATTTGCAAATGACGACCCTTTCAACACTTGCCAATGAAATCGGAGATTTTCTATTTTACTAATCAAAGACATCGGTTGGCACGTGTTCCTTTCGCGTCCTTACGCGGCGAACGTGGGAAATTTATTCAAACCTCGAGGAAAACATGCAAGAACCGTCACCCCACCCGTTACGTTCACACCACCAGCGCGCTGACACTCCAACACGCTGCCTCTCGTCATTGGACCAGCTTGACACGGTATTCGGTAGTCCGTGCGATGCTGTTCTCTCACCAACCCCCAAGAACATGAACAGAGCAGGCCCACCCAATAGTTGCATGGTTCATTCGCAACCCGCGCAACCTTTCACACTCCGAAATCCCGCCCCATATGTTTTTCGTCGCCAACTATTGTCCTTGATGTTTACCTAGATTCGGTACGGGCCCATCGGGACAAACTCGACTCCTCGCAGTGAACAGATTGCCCTCGATGCCCCCCCATGCCCCCCCCGTTTCGCGACCCGCTTTTTGTGCTTCGATTTATGTGCAAGACGCGCAAGGTATGTAAGTGCACGCATGCCGTCGGGGTAGCACACGCATACCTCCGCCGTACGCACGCGTACCTATTGGGGTGAACCACGCGATCCGTGAGCGACGACTACTTACATCGCGGGCAACATCGCACGGCGTGTACCCGAAGTCTGCTCTCAGACCGGCGCAACACGCGAAACAGTCAGCGCCAACTAGCCGGCGCTTCCGCTTGCTTTCTCGCGTTTGCTTCTCCCTGCACGCGAACACGAAACCCACCCTTCTTCCCTTCCCCTTCGCTGCATGCTGTACAAGTGCTCCCAAACGGTACACGCTTCATTCGCTCTTCTCCTCTCAGACCAATCGAAGCTCAATCAATCGACATCCACCAACCCGGAGGAAGGGGCGACGCCGTATTCTTCTCGGTAGGCCCTCGTGCGAGCTACCGCCATCCGCAGGTGCCCCACTCCCACCTCCACCTCCGAGTGTCTGGCCGAACCAACCGTTTGGTTTCAAGGAGGAGGAGTTGGGGTAAAAAAAAGGAAGAGCGCGTATGGTTAGAGAAAGGGGGGACCGTTTTGATTTGACCTTTACTTGGTCTCGTTGCAGTTTCTGTGGTGGTTTCTCTGACTGATTTCGAGAGCGAGCTCTGATCGTTTCGAGATGGTTGTTGGCTTCGACGCCTCGAAGCCGCAAAGCCGCGGGCTCTTTCTCTCTCTACACGTAGGGGCGGAACACGCCAGGGATGGCTGGCTGGATGAGTCTGTACGGTGCACGGTACCCTTGCCGGCCACGTGAACACAAGCGACGCGTGAACCACACAGGGAGCGGAAATGATCGTGCCTTGCTCTCTGCTGCTGCTATTGACGGCATCCCTGCTCTGTCCTACCACTACACCATATCGCCTCGGGGGCAATTCAGTCAGTCGCTGCTTCGAGGCCACTCAGGCTCTCTTCCTTCACGACCGCAACTCTAAGGACGAGGAAGGCAAGCATCAAGCCATTGGCGTGGGCATAGAAAATAATCTGTTTGTCGAGGAGATCGTCGCTGACGACGCGGAGCAACGCGCCCGAAGAAAAATCCCGACCCCCAGTCCGTCCGTCAAAGTGCATGCCATCTTGTCGCAAGAGCGATGGACAGATTCCTGGGGCCAACAAGTTTCGGAACAACAGTCGTATTGGGATATAGCTGCTCTTGTATCGGGGGGCCCATACCGGTGCACCTGGGGGGGGGGGGGCAGGGTAGACGAAAGTTACCTTGCTGCGAGAATGGCCGCCTCGTTGACGACGTTTGCAAGCTCCGCCCCCGAGAAGCCCGCGGTGACGCGTGCGATGTTCTCCAGCACAGCGATGGTGTCCTGGCGTCCCCCCTGCATCCGCACCTTCCTGCAGTGCACCTTTTGCAAGAACCGACGAAAGGACAGGGAGAACGAGAACGAGAGACCAGATAAAGTCACAACCACACCTTACGAACAAAAAAGGCACAACACGACACACATCAACAACAACAACAACAACAACAACAACAACAACAACAACAACAACAACAACAACAACAACAACAACAACAACAACAACAACAACAACAACAACGACAAGCCGAGCGAGCAGGACGGCAGCGATTGGTCACACCTCCAAGATCGCCCTTCGCCCCGGTGCGTCCGGCAGTCCCACCGTCACGTGCCTGTCGAAACGTCCCGGCCTAGTGAGAGCGGGGTCGAGAACCTCGGGCCTGTTCGTGGCTGCCACCACCAGCACGCTCCGCCCCTGTTGCACGGAACGTGCGTGCACACCGCCACCCGGAGACGCCCAGTTGGGGACAAGGAGAGGCTGTTCTTAGGATCAAGACCAGTCAACAACCTGGTGCTGTGTAATGGCAACAGACACGATAGCAGCAGCAACGATCACAGCATCAACAGCCACCAACGAGCTAAAACTGCAACAACAACAACAGCACTTTCGCGCCATCACAGAAAGCAACAACAGCGGCGATTCGGCCCCGCCGACGACGACATCGCAATAAAAACAAACGACGACCAAGCACTAACCTCGCTGTCGAAACCGTCCATTTCCGTCAAAAGCTGGTTCAAGGTCTGCTCCCGCTCGTCGTTAGAGTTGATGCCGCCCCGAACCTTGGCCAGAGCGTCAAGCTCATCGATGAAGATGATGCTAGGTTGCGATGCAACACCCCTCTGAAAAAGGTCTCGAACTCTAGCGGCTGTCCAACACCAAACGACAAAACATATACAACAAAGAAGGAGAACATCGACGTAGCAGGATGGACAGAAACTGGGTGCGTAATGAACTGTAGGCCCTGTACAAGGTCGCAGAGTGCCAAGGAATATGGCCGGCGTTATTCCGGGCACCCCTCGTTGTGCAGAGCGTGAGACTGCACCTTGCATTTCCATCCGTGCCACGCGGTATCATATACAAGGGACACTGCTGTTACTGTGTGCCAGTTCCAAGAGACTAAAACAGCACGAACGATCAATTTCAAATGAAAGAAAAGTGACTGGGGGGAGCTACCATGAAAGTAACAAGTGACGCCAAATCAGGCGTGAAGCAGTGCGAGCTCCCTGAGGCTTCAACAGCAACGGAACAGACAGAAGGAAACAAGCAGCCGATCTACTGCCTGCGGCAGGCCACGGAGAGACGAGACAAAATAATAAAGAAGCTCGTCGCCCGCCTCCCAGAAGCTCGTCGCCCGCCTCCCATAGTGCAAGCGTACCGCAACGCACTCACGCACCGAGCGCTCTTTCCAAGATCCGAAACGGACGAAATCAATCCCAAACCCCAACAAAAGTCACGGCGCCAAACAACCGCGCCAACAACCCCCCCCCCCCCCCCACCATCACCAACACTCCCGACGACAAGAAACTCGGCTCCACACACGCACCTCCTCGTCCCACGAGCATCTCGACGAAGTCGCTGGCGGAGCACGAAAAGAACGGGACTCTCGCCTCCGCCGCCATCGCCCTCGCCAGCAGGGTCTTCCCCGTACCGGAAGGCCCCGAGAGGAGAACCCCCCTGGGGAGCCTGGCGCCGACATCCGCGTACCTGGTGCGGGCGCGCACGCCCGCGGCGTAGACGCGGCGGAACGAAAAACAATGAAATATACGGAACTGGCAGAACACGACGAGAACTATCAACAAGACGACGCTGGAGTGCAGCGCCCAGTGGATAGTGACCTTTGAGGTCACTGCCTAGAGGACAGTGACTACTGAGGCCTAGTGGGCAGTGACAAGACGATCAAGCAGAGGCAGCAGCCAAGATCGAGGTCATGGCTCAGGCCCGTTGGTGTTGTGCCGTATGGGCGACAAGAGCGGAGACCAACAGAGGTGTTGGCAAGCATTGTCGAAGCACACACCAGCGTCCTTTAGGTTTTACGTCGCCACACCACGATTGGCAGCGCTTGCCACTCTTCCCCTACCGCTGCGTGTCGGAGACGATATCGAACGCGCACAACCGGACACGGGCTGTGTTTGCCTCACACGGCCGCCTACGGCCGAGTGTACATTGCCATCTACGTCCTGCGCCGTAGACAATACATACCTCGCAGGAAATGTTAGAAAGTCCACCAGCTCCTTGAGCTCCACCTTGGCCTCGTCTGCCCCGGCAATGTCGGCGAACGACACGGACCTATGTGGGGAACGAGCGGTGTATTCGTTAGCGCCCGTATTTTGAGGAGCACGTAAAAAAAAACATGAGGCATGAGGGGTACTCCTTGGGCTGTGCGGGGTAGGTTTGTTCAGGTACGCATACGAATGGCAGAAAATGGAAGGGGGAGGATTCCAACGGATTGATTGGAGTGAAGCGTTGTTGTGGTTTTTACGACGTTTCTGGTTTGGCGGGTGCTTGAGCCAGCGGCGTTGGGTGCCGCCAGCGACCACACTCACGAAAGGCCGACTCCGCATCGGTCATCAGCATACTCGGATGCAGCACAGGCTACATACACATACAGCAGTAGAGATCCGCTGTAATGAATCAGGGCGTGAGGAGTCAACCCACGAAAACAAGACAAAGTGAAACTGCTGCACCCCCCGCCCCCCGCCCCCCCCGGTGTTTACCTCCCCCCCCGGTGTTTGCCATCGGGATTGGGTTTTCGTCGCTTGGCAACGACGTTGCAAAACAAGCGAATTCACTTCGTGAGCTCGGCAACCAGGTTACCGTTTTTGTTTTTACCTCTGTTATTTTTTTGGGCGATAACCAAATGGTGGTCGAGTGGATCATGTTGTGCGGGGTGAACCCTCACTCCGCGCAAGGGGGATGATCGCACCACGTTGTGTTAAAATGGTCAAGCACCCTCGAGGCAGTTACACAGTGCTTACAACTGTCTCTGGAAGTGAAG